CAGAGGTTGATCTCTAGGTTTTTCCTCCCAGGCACCTCTTCATGGAGTTAAACCTCCAATCTTTTGGTTAGCAGCCAAGCATACCAACTGTTTGCACCACCCAGGTACTCCATCATTGTATGGCCAAAAGGTCTTCTATATTAGTGATAGTATAGACTCTGGACTGGGAATCAGAAGACCTGGTTTGCAATGGAAGATCTGCTGGACCAAGAGACCTGGACTTTGTTTCTTTAACTTTAAAATGAAGGTTTTGGACATGATCATCTTTTATGTTTACTTCATTGATAAAATACTAATCACTATTCTTCTGAGGTCTATAAATGGTTGTGATATTCTTGATTTTACCCTTAAAGTTATATTATGTAAAACCTAGGATAATCTGAGAGATGCAAATATAATTTTGGTATGTCTGCAACTTCAGTCATATCTCTTTTCTCTTCTCTCAGTGACTGATAATATCTGGCATAACTGTAATATTGTATCAGTAGTATAAAGAGTAAATATATGTGAAATACATATATGTGTGCATATATAGAAATGCATGTGTGTATAAGTGTGTATGTGCATGCACATATGCTTTTAAGTGAATTGTTTGTTGTTAGGTGTCATTGAGTTGATTTTGACTGAACTTAATTACAGTCAAAATTTATTTATCTTCAGTTGGAAGAATACTTAAATGTACCTTTATACACTATGGAGAATATGTAACAATCTCACGGTGACTTTAAAAGGTATTGCATTCCTTTTTGCTTTGGAAACAAACCATGTGGTTATTATATCCACAGCTTGAAATGCCACATCAACAGATTGTTGTTGGTGATGGGGAATTCCAAGTTGGTTAGTGGGAGAGGACAAATTGGGAGCTCTTTCATAATCAGGTGGCCCCCAGGTTGTCATTATAACTGTGGCCTAAAAGAATTCTTTGTTCTTTGTCTAGGCTTAGCAGCACTTTGAGTTTTTTGGTGGCAGTTGGTAGAGGATCAGAGTTACGGAGTTGTGGAATGCTACATCTGGGAGATACCTTAGGGAAGCAGCACAGCAGGGCAGTCAGGAGAATGTACCATGGCATGAGATAGTGGTTTCAATCCCAGCCCCACCTGTCACTATGTGCTCTTGAACTAGATGCTGATCCTCTATGTGTCTTGTAAAGAGAATAATAATTCGTATCTCAAGGAACTGTTGTAAGGATTTAATAATACTTAGCATAGTAGGTGCTGAACATATTTGAGCCACTATTATTATCAGACAACACTCTCATTTTACAGAAGAAGAAAGAGGTTCAAAATTGCATGGAGACTTAATTAGTGGCAGATGCAGTGCTAGAGGGAAACACTCCTAACTCTCCAGCCTCCTTCTTGCTCTTCCTAGTTCTTTGGAATTACCTGACTGACTATAATCGCTCATCAAGTCTGAAATGGGAGATGAGAATGTGATGACTAAGCAGGCACATATTAGTCACCCATCTCTCTTTTTCTGATCCTTACCTTGACTCCTTCTAAATGTCTCTTGCAAGTATGCCTCACTTTCTATGCTCTTACTACCATTAGTATTTCTAATCCAGACTTTGTCAAAAGATGGAGCATCAAATAGTCAATGGAAATTGTGAAATTCTCAAAGTTTGGTACTTAAGTCAAGGAGTTTGTTTAGTTCTTTGGAGAATAAATGCATTGGATTGCCCAATCTTCCTTCTGAGGAGTGGCTGGTGGATTTGAACCACCAGGCTTCTGGTTAGCAGTTGAATGCCTTAGTTACTATGCCACCAGAGCTCCCATATTTGAACAGAAAGGTGTAATATATTTTAACTTTACTGCCTCCTTTGCCCCTATCACAATCAGTGATATTTACAACAACAACAATGGCAAAAACCCAGTAAGCTCAATGCTACATCATGGCTAGCATCTCACTTTATCACTGAATGAGTGACTCATGCTATTTCAGTGTCTGGGCTGCGTGAACTCTGACCTTGTTATCCTTTGGATAAGGCTGGCATTAAATGTTCTCCTCACCATCTGCCCTTGTCTGCCACTTCTCATTGCCTACCAATTTCATTCATAAGGTTTTCCCTGGCCAATTCTTTGAGAAGTGGACGGCCTCTTCCTTCTTCTCAGTCTATAATCTGGGCTGTTACCTGTGCACCAGGTGCATTTCACTGGGTTTTAAACACAGAGGCTCAGCCTCAAAACTCATGTCTACATGTCACCACAGTAGGACAAACCGACAGACAAGTTTGTCTTGCTGTTGGAGACCTCTCGTATCCCCCCCACCTGGGTCCCTGTGGCTGACTGTTCCTCTGTCTGGCTTCCTGCCTTTTAATCCCCTTTCTCCTGCTCTTCTGGCCTGCTGCTTTG